TTTTTTTTTTTTTTTTTTTTTTTTAATAATTTACGAAAAAAAACTTGAATTTGCATTATTTAAAAACAAATAAAATTCTATTGAATAATACTTGATGGAGCAAGCTTCCACTTTGCTGCTTCCTGCCTGGATGTTCAGTTCAGCCTTCATTTTGTTTTAAGCCAATTTGGACTAGATTTGGCATTCTAATGAGTGGAGAAGTTGTGAATTTGCAGGGAAAGTGAATATGCAGCCTGGACTCTTGTTAATGGGTATGCATTAAATCACGTCACCATATCTGTTCACCGGCTCAAATCACATCTAGCAAATATAAAAAATCTTAACCAGTTCATTGAGGAGAATGGCTTCAAGTTGAACTCTGAAGGAGGAGATTTAAAAGGTCAGTTTGCGCTGTTATATTACCTTGGAACGAATTTTAAAATTGGGAATTTTAAGTGAATTTGACTTGTTAATCACACTTTCTCACTATATTCACTTTAAGTTGTTTTCCTCTTGGATTTATGCCTGCTATAAGTTATTTTCTCACAAAGTTATTAAGTTGTTTTCCTCTTGGATTTATCCCTGCTATAACCTATCTTGGCGAATTTCGAATGTCGAATGTCACACCTATATCGTCTCAAGTGACCATATATTTTTTCCTTTTTGGCGCGTACTAGTACGTGACATGTGCGATGCACGGGAAACTATTAAATATAAATAACATTAAACTATTCTTTTCGAAACCGGGCCAGACCAGACAGTCCGACCGCATGGACCATGAACCGGTTTATCGACCGGTCTGGTTAAATAATACGTTTGCTAGTGAACGTGCTAGTAGGATTGGTATGATTTTTTAAATCAATTTTGTTACATTTAATATTATTTTTAACATAATGAAAAATACAAAATAATATGGAGAATCTATATATATATAATTGGTGGCATATAGCATTTAATAAAACCTATTTAATAAAACCTCTAAAATTTTCCCTCCATTTTCGGTTACAAAATTTATCATTAATATTTTTTTACTTCTCACATTAATATATCCTATTAAGTGTAATCATGTATTTTTCTAATATATTAAATAATAGTTATTTCTAATACCGACTAATAATAATTCAAAATGAATATAAATTTTATAATTACAAACAATTGTTTCAAGTGTAATCTATATTAACATCAATATTATATATTTTTTTTGTATCTCATGAAAAAAAAAATTCTTCAAAAGCAATTAGGAAATTATTTTAATAGCACAGTCAAACAATTTTAGATTCTTATAAACATATGTTTTTTAATAATAATAATAATAATAATAATAATAATAATCAAACTGTTATTATCTAATGATAATAAATAATTGTTCATCGGTACTTTATTTTTCCTAATGATCAAATTTTTGAAAATGTAATATGTTCATTATCTAGAATTTTAATATTAAATTCTCAAATATTACTTATAGTATTTTATGTGCACAGGTCTACTAGTTAGTAAGTATTATCAATTAGTTTAAACATTTAAAATTAATTATTTTATACATTTAATTAATATATAAATTTATTACGAGACGTACTATAAAATATTAATAAATTAAACTATGGTTCAACCACTAAATCATTGAATAAATAGCTTGATTGGTTCAATGACTATCTAATTTTGAGAACCTTGGATTTACAGTACACTATGTAATACAATGTCATTTCAACCAATAAATCATTGAATAAATAGCTTGATTGGTTCAATGACTATCTAATTTTGAGAACCTTGGATTTACAGTACATTATGTAATACAATATCATTTTGTTCACATAAATATTAATAAAATATCTATATATATATATTCATAAATGATTGAATATGTTGTCATAAAAGCATTCTTAATATGATTATTTGTTTGACTACATTACAATTATTGGGGCAAGTAGGGAACCACTATCGATCCTCTTTAATTTAAGAAAAAAAAAAAGTATTTTTTAATATTAAAATTTATATTAGTTTTAATAACCAATTTGGAATGATCAGAGTGACAATAACTAAGTCACTCGGAATCAACCCTCGTTGTGTCATTTTTTTTAATATTTTTTTTTCTTCTAAAGGTAATTCAATATGGGAGTCACCTAATTCAATCACCAATTGATTTAAAGAGTTTTCTTATGATCCTTAAATATAATTAATTATATAAATAAAAACTATTATATAAGTAAATGTTTATAACAAATGACAATATGTTATGATTATAGATTATATATCTTACGATAAATTAATTATTTTTTACTGTATGCATATTTATAAAAAAAATAAGCATGATATTTTAAAACTTTTAAATTAATTGATTTATTATGCAATTGACGCGATGATGCGATATTAGCATGAGGTACTACATAGCAAAAATATTTTGAATATCAACTAATGTTTATGTAGTATGTTATTCATAAATTAATAAATTTCATAATAAACGGACGATGTTATAACGAAAAAAGTGTTTTGAAAATAAATTATATCTATTTTTATATATAACTTAAGACAAGTGGTTGTAATTATTATTTTATATGTTGTTAAACAAATATTTATTATTCAATTTGTAATCTTGTAATAATCATTCTAATTATAAAAAAATATAATCTTTTATGATATTATTTCCAATAAAATATACAATGTTAAAAAGGAAAAGAAAAAATAATAAAATTCTACAGAATTTCCTATTTTTTTGTAACTAAAAGTCTTCTACTCTAGTGATAAATTACACACTCTTTCAAGTAAATGTTAAACCTTGTTATATATATATACACACACATATATTACACACACACACACACACACAATATATATGCAGCAGACAAAAAGTGACATGTCTTAACTTTTTCATCTTCATGGTGGAGAGCTTGCACACAAATTAAATGAGAGGTTAGGTTAATTGTCTTTTTACCTTTATTGATTAGTAAAACTTTACTAGAAATGTGAGTTTCTCATTCTCCTTCAATTGGGATTTCTATATTCTAATATGTAATGGCTATCACACATTTTTTGGTAATGAACAGGAAAATATATGGTTATATATTGCATATCCAATTTTTCTCTTAATTGGGCTTAGAACAATCAATTCCGCTGAAATAACACGTAGAACTTAAAACATGATCGCCATTTTGGGGGATTTTTCTGTTATTTCATTTCATATATCAAAATGAAGACGACGATGCTTACACGCAGTACACACACTAAGCCATAATACACTTGGGGATTTTTCTGTTATTTCATTTCATATATCAAAATGAAGACGACGATGCTTACACGCAGTACACACACTAAGCCATAATACACAATCACTGCAGGACGCGTGCCATCTAAAAGCAACAACGGATAGTGCGTCTCTTCAAGTATAATGCACCTTAAGAAGAAATAAAAAAAAGGCTTTTCTAACCGACCAACTGACTGAAAATATAAAATGCGGAAGGAAAAGAAACAGAAACACAATCAATCATCAATATCTATCCTTTCAGGATCATTCCTTCAGTCCTCTTCAGTATGAACACTGAAAAATTTAATCCTTGTGGGAAAGGTGTAACAGTAAGACCCAAGTCCTTCACCATGTCTAGTATGCATTTCCTTCGGCTAAGATGAGTGCCATCACTAGTTTGAATAACCTTATGGCCTAGAAATACTTAGGTGCCCCTAAGTTTTTTATAGTGATTCTTGATAGTATGTTTTAAGCCCTTGTATATCTGCCGAGGTACTTGGCAGTGCCTGCAATGAAGACATCATTCACATATATGATGAGAGCCAAGAAGTGATCTCCTCAACTTTTCACAAACAAACAATTGTCATTTGTAGACTGTACAAAACCATAAGCCAAGTGTTTATCTGAAAATGCTAGATTCCACAGGTTTGTTTCAATCCATACAAGCTCCTCTTCAATAAACATACTTCGCCCCCTTTTTGCCTTAGTGTATCCCTGTGGTGGCATCATGTACATCTCTTCATCTAAGAAATCATGCGAGAAGGCATTATTTATATCTATATGATGCAATTTCCATCCTTGCTGTGTGGCAAGATGCAATCAAGAACCTGACACTTACTAGTTAGTTTAGCAACAGGTGATAAGCTCTCAACAAAATCCACACCCTCAACCTGCAAATATCCCTTTGCAACCAACCTTGCTTTATACTTGTCAATTGTCCCATCTGGATTCCTTTTTATTTTATAAACCTACTTCGAGCCAATGGCTCTCTTTCGTGGAGGCAGAGAAGTCAAAATCCAAGTTTCATTAGCTTCTAAGGCTTGCAATTCCTTCTGCATAGCCAATACCCGATTTGTATCTTTCACAGCCTGCCTAAAGTGTGTAGGTTCACTTTGTGTTTTTCCTACCTCAGTCTAGAACAATACAACATCCTTTTGCAATCTTTCAGCATGATCTGCCTAAGCTACACAGTCCTTCATCCATGATGGTGGTTTACTGACTCTTTTTTCTTGCATCTCCCTCAATGTTGATAGAGTGTTTCTCTACAAATTCTTTAGATATCTCCAGTTCTCCCTCCCCTTCATCAATTACCAAAGGCAAAGGCACTTTATGAATAACATTATCCTTTTCCTTGAAAGGGAAAACAAATTCATGAAATATGATATCCCTTGTCATAAATAACTCCTCTTGTCTCCAAGTTATATACTCCAAATCCTTTCACACCATTCACATAGCCAAGGAAAACACAAGGGACAACGCTGTGGTCAAACTTCTTTTTATGCGGTGAGTTTCTTGAAGCATAAGTCAAACATCAAAAGACCTTAAATCTGTCATATATAGGTGCCTTTCCATGTAACAACTCATATGGAGACTTTCATCCAAGCATTTCAGAGGTAGTGAATTCATTATGTGAACAACTCCTAACAATGTACAAGGCCAAAGTTTCTTTTCTTGATCACACTGAAACATAAGTGGTCTTCTATCTCGAGTATAGACCCATGTTTGCTTTCAACTACCCTATTCTGTTTTGGGGTATATGGACCCGTGCTACATTACAGGAAAAATCAGTGAAGTGTCGAGGAGAGTCTACATTGTGCTGCATTGTCAAATATTTGGAGAACATAAAAACAGAAACACAATCAACTCATCAATATCTATCCCAATTAACACAAGAATTTAAAAGCTATATAATTTCTAGACCATTATATTAATTCTTGATAAAATAAAAAGGAAATTAGTGGGCTCATCTTAAATTAGGATTCAGTTAATTTCCACGAAAAACAAAGACAGTTACTGTGTTATTATCATCATTATTTTTATTATTTTGGCAGTGAGCCCAGATGGCCTCTTGTTACAAAGCTCAACTGTGGCAGATTTAACTTCCTTCGAATTTGCTGATGGAATTTCAGAATCTATCCCATGCTCGTACATTGAGTTTGCCGAACGCCTTATACTTCCTCAGTTCAAGAATCTACCAGAGGATAAGGTTCACCTTTCAATGTCTACTGAACATTTTGTCGTTTTATGTATTTTTTTCTGAAGCTTTGGGTTTGCGAGCAAATCCAGAACGCCATGCATTTTGGAGAATCATTTTTGTGTTTTCGTAATGCTATGCCAATGATTGTTGGCACCTAGTTGTCGATTGCTTTTCTAAATTTTTTTAGCTCAACTGCATAGGTTGAAGAGTTCCATAGACGAGATGGTTTTGAAGTTGGAAACGCGGATAAGATATTCGAGAGCACTTCAATGGATCAGCTAACCAGAAAGGCTGCTTGAGACAAACAATTTACCAGCTGTTATGTGCTTGAAAAAATAATGAAATCCCATTGTAATATTTATCAAACCCTCTTTGAAAAAAATTGAGCATTTTGTGTATAATGATGATGATGTATGATGTGCCATCGTTGAAGCGTGGGACTTTTGGTCTTGAGGAGTTCACTCTCAATAATTTTTTCTCGTGTCCCAAATGAAATTTTCACGGCGTGATTTGATGATATCCTTGTTTTTTTTTTTTTTTTTCATTTTAATTATTATATCCAGCAGATATGGAGCATGAATTGATGATAAATTGTGTATTTAATTTTCATAATGATGAAGCTGCGATTATAAAATTCACAGACATTGAAATTAATTAATGATTATTGGCTACAATTGACCTAGCTGATTATTTATATCAGGAGATGTTACGGTCCCGTTACGAAATCACTCTTTCGAGTTTTGTAACCGTTAGATCATGTAACCATCCGGTTTAATGGTTACAAATTCCGACGAAATAGTTCCGTTACAGTACCGTAACATTTCCCCATTATTTATGTCCTATAATCGTAAGAGAAAATGATTAGTTCTCACGAGTTGGACAAAAAGAAAGTGAGTAAACCATACGTCTTTGAAAATCTTCATAGTGTGCAAATGCAATTATGTTAGCCTGCTTTTTCTTGCTTTTTCTTTCAATCTTTCCGTTTATTATTATTTTTTTCTTCCCTTTTTGACAATATAAGACTGATGATAATTTTTTTTTATTAAATGATACTTTGAGCCTGATTTAAGTAATCATATAATGGAGCAACACACTTTAAATGAAAGACAACACAAACTCATATAAATGCACCCATCTTCCAGAAGACTTGCATGTGGAAATACACTTAACTGAACTGTTAAACGACATCGTTTGATAAATCTTACTAAACCTTCATTTCCATTAAGAAGTGTGTATTTCTAGTGTTAGAAATGGAGCCACGTATTTCCACACAAGCATCAAGGGGAAAGAGAACGATGATAAAAGGAAAAAGAAAAAAAAGAAAACTTTTTTTAAGCGTTCCCTTTCGGTTTTGGCGAATTTCGAGCGAGACGGTAGGGCGAGGCGTGAAATGTGGCCCCGTTCGAAATCGAGAGGCTTCTCGTTGGCTGCGGCCCATTTCTGAACAATGCTTTCCCATTCGGGCTGGGCCCAGCCCGGTCGGATTGGACAGTTTGGAAGTAGTAGGACGAACTGGCTAAGTCCTTGAGGTTTGGGAGAGGCTTCAAGACCTCGACAACCTCGCTCATTGCGGGCCGGGCTTTTGTGTCCCGGCAGAGGCAACGGGCCGCCAGGTGGGCTGCCTTTTGGGCTCCCTTGACCGAGAAACGGCCCTCGAGCCGGGGATCTATCAAGCGATAAAACCGTCTCTTGTCGCACAGATGAGGCCGGGCCCACTCGACGAGGTTGTGTTCGTCTTTAGGCCGTGTTTTGTCCATGGATCTTCGGCCTGTGATCAGCTCAAGGAGGACAACTCCAAAGCTGTACACGTCGCTTTTCGACGTAAGATGCCCTAACAGGAGAATGTTTTAATTAAGAATCAACTGGGAATTAGCTAACATTTATTGGAAACAATTAAATTGCACCAAAATGCAATTCACGCTCTAAATAAGGCGATTTAAGGGTAAAGAATTTTTTCATTCGTTGTGAAACGGTTGCATAGACCGTATTTTCCTTTATTTAGTAGCAATTGTTGAGTCGGAAGAAAAAAAAAATGTGGGAGAGCGAGTTAACAGCTTAACTAGCTATATAATCATAATCACAACTCATTGAGAAAAATATTGTCCAAGGTCTAGCCAAAAAGAGAGACTCATAACGACTCATGTTCTTGACACGATTGATGCCGTGATGTGCATACTGATATGGAGCATCACTACAGTAAAAGAAAATGAAAAAAAAAAGATAATAAATAAATTTTACCTGTCATGACATATTCTGGGGCCGCATAACCATAGGTTCCCATCACACGTGTAGAAACGTGAGTTTTTCCTTCATCTGGAGCATCTTTAGCAAGTCCGAAATCAGAAAGTTTGGCATTGTACTCCTAAAAAATATTAAGTTCAATAATATGAATGACTGAAAAACTATCTCTAATGTTTATAAAACGAAAAAGGAGAACAATTATCTTTAAAATCTCAAAGATTCCCTGAAAAAGTAACATCACAATTATAAATGTAATTTTGAAGGATGTGGGAACAAAGTTATGAGAACTTACAGCATCCAAGAGGATGTTAGACGTCTTAAAATCACGATATATGACAGGTCTTTCAGCTTCCTCATGCAGAAAAGCAAGTCCTTTTGCAGCTCCAAGAGCTATTTTCATCCTGATAGACCAAGGAAGTGGCAAGGATCCTGCATTTGAATATGTCCGAGTTTTCGTCATTTTACACACATTTGTATAGAGAACTAATATGAGGTCTACAAGAGAGAAGTAAAAAATGTAACAAGACTGAAACGTTATGTTAAACACCACACAGTTCAACTCAAAATGATAATTTCAAAAAAAAAAAAAAAAAAATTGCTTTAATCAACGATATATTGCGGCCTCTAAACTAAAGCTTCAAATTACAGAAACATAGTAATTATAAAAGCTTACATGTACATGCACACAAATTTTATAACTCGGATATAGTATATAGCGGTTTAGCGTACAGTCCTAAACAGTTTGCATCATATGGGAACAACATTAATCAATAGAAGGGTGCTGATAAACTAAAAGAAGGTTAGATACATACTCCTGAATAGATGGTTCTCCAAGCTTCCTCTCGGCATGAATTCATAGACAAGTAGCCTCTGATCATCTTCAATGCAGTAACCAATTAATTTGACCAAATTAGAATGAACAAGATCACCCAAAAATTTCACTTCAGCCTGACAAAATAATAACATAATACGAGGGAAAAAAAAATTAAACATGGTAAAACTACTGGAACAGAAACCCTGCAAGGGTTAATTACGGAAATACCATTGAGGTTTGGTCTTAGTTAACTTCAATGCCCTCATATTATTTTTTTCGTTTTTTTCTTTTTCAATCCTTTGTGAGGGATTAACAAAATGCAAACCTCAAGGGGTAGTTTGTTATTATCAAAATAGAGAAGCACATTAAGGATAACAAATTAAGAAGGAGTCCTACCAGCCATTCTTTGTGACCCTGAAGTCCATCATGATTCAGGGTTTTCACAGCCACAGTAAGTCCCGTCCCAGGTTTAACAGGTGCTGTACCATTCTCTTCAATCCATCCCTTGAACACACAACCAAAACCCCCTTCACCAAGAAGAGATTCTGGTCTAAAATTTCTTGTGGCCAGCTTAAGGTCATTAAAACCAAATTTTCGAAGGCGGGAAGAAATTTTAAGCTCCTCCTCGAGTCTTGTGCTTGAAGAAACGCTTTCAGTATTGCTAGTTGTGGTAGATGGAACTATAGGGGCAACTGGCTGGTCTTTGCCTTTTTCACTTGTAGATTTACTTTCTGTTCATATGCACAAATGGGGAGAAAATAAATAAGAAAAAGAATAATGCTTTAATAATAAAGTATATATAGTCTGGTTGAGATTTAGCATATCACATACAAAATGACAAGAGTATTACAACAAATTGAACCAATAAATGACGATGAATTTGCTATAGAACTTCAAGGTTGATCACAGAAAACGAAATAAAAGAGTGCAATTTGCAGCACTGCATTTCACATAGTTCTTGTAAATGGCTTACTTGATTAACCAAGAACAATTTCTAACTTCAAAATTTCAAGGTTCAAAATCAAGTACTCGGTTCACAAGATGGACAATAATAAAAGAGCTAGAAAGAAACACAAAAACGCACAAACACGTGGCTGCACCAACAAGACAGCATTGAGAATTCGCAGTAATAAATTACATTTATTCCATATACACTACACAATGCCATCTCAAATCATACCGTAGCACAGCATAACGAATTCTACCTAACTATAGGTTTCATATCATGAAGGGTCTTCTACATGGTGTTAGGGTGTATAATCAGTACACGTGCAAATAAAGCAGATATGTACAACTCCAGCAAACACACACATATACAGAGAGCAACGTTCTTTCAGGAAGAAAGAAATTCGGAGCCCATTAACCATACTGTTGCCAAACCTGGCAGTGACCAAAAAGTAAGAAGAAGAAGAAGAAAGTATCAGAAAATACAAGCATTACCATGAGTGCTGATGCCACTAATGGAGGTATCAACTTTAGATCTTGAGGGAACACAACAGCCAAAAACCCATAACCTAATGCGACATCCCTTATCCATTATTACTTCATCATCAATATCACCACACTCTCCTCTTCTGTTACTCCCCTTCGATAACTTGACATCCCAAGACTCCACCTTTAAGCCCTCATCGACTAATCCCATCTTTAGCAGATCCCAAAATCAATCAAAATGTCGCAAGAAACAACAATTTCAACCTCCCTCTAAATATAAACATACGGAAAAAGGATAAATCCCCCAACTCCGATAAATTTCATCGAATCACCCAAAGCAACTCAAACCATTTTCAGAAATAATTCAAACATCACATAAGGAACCCTTTCTTTCCCCACTTTCAACAAAAACCAAAGCCCTATATGGGAGGGGAAAAAGATGATTCCACCCCTCAAGAACCGATTTTTACTCAGCAAATTGTTATATGAAAGTGACAAATAGCTCAAAACACTACAGAATATTCTCCCCCCAGCTTCAATAATTAATTTCTAGGAAAACCCACATCAAATCAATGAAATTACAAAGATCCCGATTAAAAAATAGAGCTGAAATTTGAAGTGAAAGGGTATAGAAAGCCCAGCGATCGCAGAACACATGCTTGACCTTCAAAGCATAACCCTTTAGAGCTGTGCAGCGAACAAAGCTGAAATTGTGGATTCGTCATAACACTTGTGATGGTCAATCACAATCTTAATTCAAGAAGAAAGAGAAAGTACATTTAACTATATGGCCAGCACAAAAAAAAAAAAAAAA